TGGATGCCATTGACGCCGGAGGCGGTGCAGGTTGCGAAGGACATTATGTCCCTGCCCGTCCCGAGCTCGCAATCTGGTACGGGCCCTAGGTCGCGGGGCAAGCCCCCTTTGGGTGCCCACCAGACCTCTCCGAGCAGCTGCAGTTCCCCCTCCGAAGATCGGTCCCCGCACCACTCAGCGCGCAGCGGCCGCTCTTCGGACAGCTCCTGGCCACCCTCGACGCCGGCCAGATCGGCAGGACCGCCGTCGGGACGGGAGTCACGGGGACCCTCCATGGCCCCTGCCAGTGAGCGGAGGCACCGAGGGAGGCACCAGGAATGCTCACCTGCTAGACGTGGGTACCGGAGCCGCTCTCGATGGGACAGATGTCGCCGCTCCCGTTCCAGCTCCCGCTCGTCAAGGCGCCACGCCGGAGACTCCCCTTGGGGTACCTCGGCGTCAAGGCCCCGGGCTTCACATCGCCACCACGCGTACCGAAGCAGTTCGTTGCATGGGTACCGTTCGTCATCGTCGAGATCCTGGTCCCAAGGGAGATGACGCCACAGACGCTGCTCCTACCGCTTCCGCAGAACCGAGCGTTCTTCGGCGACCTTGGTCTCGGCATGCGTCCACCCACCCTCGGCACATGCCGTCCCACCGAGGCACATATTGCCAACCAGTGGCAAGGACAATGGTGCCAGTGGGCACCGTGGCTATTGGTGCCAGCCCAAGCGGAGGCCCGTTCGGTCTCCAGAGCGTCCCGAGCTTCATCGGCCTCCTCCGGCCGCCCACAAGAGAAATTGGCGGGCCACGAGTCGGCAGACACGCACCGGGACTCTGACCTCAGTATCGACGCCCCGGCACTGACCAAGGTGCCCGGCTCCGTACGGGCCATCTCCCCGGTACTGAACAACACCATAGCAGCGCTTCCGCCTTCAGTCCCGCAGGAGGACTTCAAGGCACACCAGGACCTGCTAAAGCGGGTGGCTTCCAACCTACAGTTGCAGGCTGAGGAGATGGAGGGTCCATCCGATTCCTTCTTTAACGTCCTGTCTCCCTCGCCACCGCGTCGCGTGGCCCTGCCTCTGCACCAGGGTATTGCTAACTTTTCAAACTCCTTGTGGCAAACCCCCGCCTTCTTGGCTCCAATCTCGAAAAAGGCCAGAGGAAATACTTTATGCCAGCTAAGACCATGAATACCTGTATTCACACCCGGCACCCAACTCACTCGTCGTGGAAATCGGTAAACCATAGAGAGTGTCCGGGCCAGCCCACGCGCACCCCAAAAAATAAAGACGCCAGGAGACTGGACTCCTTTGGCAGAACATTTTATTTGTCGGCTAGCTTCCAGCTTCACGTAGCCAACCACCAGGCCTTACTGAGCAGGTATGACGTCAACCTGTGGGAGTCGCTGCCTAAATTTGCGCCCCTCCTCCTGGACCGGGAGAGGAAGGACTTCAAGGCCCTAGTGGAAGAGGGGTCGGTGGGGGCTAAAGCGGCCCTGCAAGCGGCGTCCGATGCGGCAGAGATGGCGGCCCGCTCAATGGCTTCCAAGATCACCATGCGCAGGGCGTTGTGGCTCTTGTTGTCCGGGCTGTCGACGGAGGCACAATTGCTGATGCAGGACTCCCGTTTGATGGCAAGGCACTCTTCGTGGACTAGATGGATGTCAGGCTGCATGGGATGAAGGATTCCCGCACCACCTTGCAGACCTTGGGCCTCTATGTGCCCCCGGCTAAGGACAAGGCCAAATCGCTTTTGGCGTTCAACCTGCGAGGAGCAGATATGAGCCCCCGTACAAAAGGCCCAGAGACCAGAAGCGTCAGTCTCAGAGGCAGTCTCACTCTGCCCCACAGCCCAGTCCCTCTAAGCGAAAGAGGCAAGGGAAGAGGTGGTTTTGACTATCTGTAGGGGGGCACTGGGCCTGTTGCCAGGGAGACCCCCGATTAATAGTTTGTGTTTGGCAATTGATTGTTTGCCTTCCTCAGGGCGTGGTCCCGCATTACTTCAGACCAATGGGTCCTCAGTACTATCTCCAAGGGCTACGTGTTGCAGTTCACCTCACCACCACCAAATCACCTGCCATCCACGATGGCCCCAAGGGACCAGGAACATGTCCGCCTCCTGCGTCAGGAGGTGGACCGGTTGCTCCACCTAGGGGCAGTGAAAAGGGTACCGGTTCAGTTCCAGGGCAAAGGGTTCTACTCCCGGTGCCTCCTGATCCCGAAAGCGAAAGGGGGCCTCAGGCCTATTCTGGACCTGCACGACCTGAACAGTTTTGTAACCCGTTCTAAGTTCCGCATGGTGTCCCTGGCCTCTATTATCCCCTCCCTGACCCGGGGGACTGGTACGCGGCCTTGGATCTCCAGGAGGCGTACTTTCATGTCCATATTTTTGAGGGCCACAGACACTTCCTCCCATTCATGGTGGAGATGGACCATTACCAATTCACGGTCCTCCCATTTGGCCTATCCATGGCTCCCAGGGTTTTCACGAAATGTATGTCGGTGGTAGCGGTCTACCTCAGGCGGGAGGGAATACAAATCTTCCCTTACCTGGACGACTGGCTCCTCAAGGGGGAGTCTCGTTTCGAGGTGGAGTCCCATGTAGAGCTGCTCCTCTCCATGCGCCGATCTAGGCCTGGTCATGAACGAGACCAAATCAACATTAGTGCCCGTTCAGCGCATAGAGTTCGTTGGGGCCCTGCTGGACTCCTCCAGGGCAACAGCCTCTCTCCCCCTGGACAGATTCAGGACCCTAAGAGGTCTCATCACCTCGGTAATGGCCTTCCCGATGACCACGGCGAGGGCATGTCTTCGGATTCTGGGACACATGGCAGCGTGCACTTACGCGGTCCGCCATGCCAGACTCCGTATGAGGCCCCTCCAATTATGGCTGGCCTCCCAGTTCTCCCAAGCTTGGGACAGTCTGGACAAGGTTCTCACAGTCCCATTCCCGATACTCGCTTCTCTCCTATAGTGGTACTGCCCAAGCAATATGTTGCAAGGAATTCCCTTCAGGGAGGCCAACCCGTCCATAGACCTGATGTCTGACACTTCGGACCTGGGCTGGGGAGCCCACACGGGGGACGTGCAAACCCAGGGAACGTGGTCGGCCCCGGACTTGCCCCTTCACATAAACCTCAAGGAGCTCAGGGCAGTTCAGTTGGCATGCGTGGCGTTTCTCACGCACCTCCCCGGCAAGGTGATCAGAGTCCTCACGGACAACACCGCCACCATGTACTCGCTCCCTAGCCCTCTGCCGGGAAGCCCTAAACCTATGGGAGTTCTGGATAGCCCACAATATCTTCCTGAGGTAGCTCACCTCCCAGGCGTCCCCCCGGGTACGAGTGGTCGCTCCACTCGGAGGTCGCTCACCTGCTCTTCCAAGAGTGGGGACCTCCACAGATCAACCTGTTTGCAAATCGTCAGAACCGGCATTGCCCCCGGTTCTGCTCCAGGGGAGGGGTGGGGGAAGGCGCGATCTCTGACGCGTTCCTCCTGAGCTGGTCGGGTCAGCTCCTCTACGCCTTTCCCCC